GTCCTACACGCACATGTGCCTCTTTTTCGCTCCTACGGATCTCACACCTGCAATCCTCAATCTGTAGGTGCGGATATGACAGAAGCAGCAACACCAGCTGCAATTTCTCAAGTTCAAACTTTCCGAAAACTATCCAAAATCATCCCGAGTCCCCCGGGACATCAACCAAAAATACAAACAAGTCACGTATCACTATTCAAACTTATTACAACCTTCGGAACAGTCAAAACAACATCAAAAGACCAAATCACCCTCGGATTCAAGCCTAAGGATTTCCAAACTTCCGAATTCCGTAACCAATCCAAAAACCTCTCAAACCTTATCCAATTGACCTGAAATTTTGCACACACTTCACAAATGACACAACGGACTTACTCAAATTTCTGGAATTCCATTCCGACCCCGATATCAAAATTTTCACTGCTGACCGAGAAATACTAAATTTCTAATTTTCGCCAATTCAAGCCTAATTCTACCACGGACCTCCAAATCACATTCCGGACGCGCTCCCAAGTCCAAAATCACCTAACGGAGCTGACCAAATCATAAAAATCCAAATCCGAGATCAAATACTAAAAAGTCAAAACTTGGTCAAACCTTTCAAATTTAAAGCTTCAAGCTGAGAATCATTCTTCATATCTATTCCGATTAAACTAAAAACCAAAACTGGCGATTTACATATATCATAATACATCATATGGGGCTAGTCATGCCCGAGATCTGGCGAGCGAAGTGCAACTGCTCAAAACGACCGATCGAGTCGTTACATCCTCCCCCACTTAAACATACGTTCGTCCTCGAACGTGCCCAAAGTTGTTCCCAAAAGCCAACAAATCACTGTATAACCTTACCATGCACATACTCGGGGGTGATCCCACGTCACCCTATCCCATATAGGCCCGATAGGACAACATAACTGAAATTTCACAATCCAACCTAGCCCCTTAACCTTAGAACCAAATTTCCACTTCCGAAATTATCTATAAGATCAGAACCTCACATCTATACTCTCAATAAGTCTGAACACGTTGTATCAAGCCATAACCACAACTCAAGATGAAATCCATGATATACCACACAACTCAAACGCTCAATCAAAACAGCTGCTCAAAACAATCGAATACCGATAATAAACCTCTTATCAATTAAAGTCTCACTCCAACACTTTTGTATACTGCCAATGATGAATGAAAAACACAGAAAGTCAGAACCATTCCTCAGATCAACCATTCATGAAGCTCCCTCTCCTTTCACAAGGACCATAGTAAATTTCTAAGTTGAATCTCGATACTATCCTTCCAACATGCTGAAATCAAATCCGATAGTATTCATTCTAGATCTCAATGACCTCGTCTCATCCAACACGACTACTATGGTGATATGACACATCGATACAATCTAAAACCACAACCTAGGTAACCCGCACACCAATAAGCAACAGCCCAAATGTACTCAATTCATGGAAAATGAATCAAATGAGAGGGATGTACCACAAGCTCACCAGTATCACCACAACACAATACTGAGAACCCATCACACATCGTAGGACCAGAACACATGAATCTAACCCAAAGGATCATACCTCCACATAACTTCGCTACAACTGTGACCACATCCAAACGCTGGTCTGCATTATATACCTCGAGCCTCTCTGCTCGAAACACATAACCACTCGGAATTCAACATCAAGGACCCATAGTGCATTACCATAATCACGGGGAAGCAAATGACATACACCACACAAACCCGAAAGAACATAACCCATATGCCATCCACCGAGCAATACCCAATACTTTTCTCGCTCGAATTTCACTATGAGACCCCAATAGAATCGCCCCATATGTATATATAACCAACAAATCATAACTCCTCGCAACATGGAAAGGTAACTCATAGATCACCCCAGAACATGAATAAGCTCAACAACAATCGAATCAATACATCCCTCAATAATAGCAACTCGGAGTCAACAAAGCCAACTCGATGCAGAACACACATCCATATTGGCCTACCAATGAACCCCTTATCAAGGAGTTCTTGAAGTTGTTCCTTCAACTCCTTTAACTCCGCCGGTGCCATACAATATGATGGAATAGAAATGGGCTGAGTGCCCGGCACCAAATCAATACCAAAATCAATAACCTTGTCCGGCAGCATGCCCGGCAGGTCTGCAAGAAACACATCCGGAAAATCCCTCACCACCGGAACTGAATCAATGGTAGGAGTCTCTACACTGACATCCCTCACGAAGGCCAAATAAGAAAGAAAACCCTTTTCCAACCATCCGATGGGCCTTCAAAAGTGAAATCACTCTACTGGGAACATAATCCATCGAATCTCACCACTTAATACGTGGCATCCCTGGCATAGCCAACATCATCGTCTTAGCGGAACAATATAGAATAGCACAACACGGAGACAACCAATCCATACCCAATATCACATCAAAATCCACCGTACTAAGCAACAAAATATTTACTTGGGTCTCCAAACCCCCAATAATCTCCACACAAGACCGATATATGTGGTCCACAACCACGACATAAAATGTTTACGAGAACTTTCAGTCTCCAAATCTATAAAGCATACGAATCACCATATCCGATCCCAACTCCACCACCCGTACATCTAACGCACATCTGATACTCGATCATTCCACGAGGGATACTCCTAAAATTCTTTTGTGCCACAATGCAAACTAATATATCAGCAGTCAATGAAACAGGAGAGTGCCGCAATACCAATGAAGTACCCTTAATTCAAACACATTGCCCTTTCTAAAATGTATACCCTCATCAAGACGCACCAATAGTGACATCATTTACCTAGTCATCTGAAAATGTCCATGATGCATAAGAACTTATGTCCTTCCTTCCAGAACTGAACTGTGACCTTACACATGCAAATCTCAACCCTACACAACATACCGCATATACCATGTCATCCTATGATAAATATGAGAACTTCGTAATCCCTTCCGAGCCACAAGAAACTACGTACTCAACCAGCCAAGAACTTTCCATTTGATCACGTCTAGAAGAAAATCACTAACATCACATGCTCCTCACGCCAATAAAAAATATACATCTCCAACCGTGATAGAAATCACCAAGAACTCTCTGAATCCCCTTTGAACAAAACCAATCTATCAAGACTGAATCCATCTAACTCAACCAAGCTACGCAGATCACCAAAAGCCCAAGAGCATTGCCATGAAACACCTATAGAAACTCATTATCTCATAAGCACCCAAAGAACTAATCATATCCCTTACCATGCCAATCCGACCTACTACCAAGTCGTCCTATTTAGCCAAGTTCCTTTTGAATTCCCTTCAAATTGATACTTCCTCTCGCCATAATACCGCAATACTCAACCAAGACTCACCACACGAGACCCAAGCATAAAATCACACCGCCTAAGACTCATAAGCCGCTGAATATTCTCTTAAATATCCCCAAAAGCACCACATTCCAAATACTTACCCTGAAGAGACTTCTTGCGAATCTAAAGCCATTAGCTTCACCTTCCTGATACTGATATGTAGAATCCATAATGATGTAGAATGCCACAAGTCTTGACACCATCCAATAAAACCTCGATTTCTAGCTAATTACACATCTTGAAAATCCCCAATTTTTACATATAAATCGTGAAACCATTAGAACCATTCTTGAGAGTCATCCACTCTGCTCAAACTTCAATTAGACTGATCAAACAGACCAAACGACATGTGCTCCATTAGCACTCCAATGCCCCAAAAAGTAACTCCACCTTAATGGGACCAAATAAATTTCTGCTCCATGCACATTACATCCTTCACCAATAACAACTCAAGTCATCCCATGATTCTTATACACCCATAAAGCATAACACAACCCCTATCCAAAATTTCCTTTACTCGAGTCATCCTCGATCTCAACCTCTGTAAGCCATAACTAATTCACCAGTATGCCTCAAACTGGAACCAACATAGGACATAACCGTGCAATCAACTAATCAATAGCAGACTCCCCCCACTTGGCTCAAAGGCATACATCAAAATACACAATAATCTCACAATGCATGTACTCTATTATTGCCATAATACCATAATGACATTAAACTCAATCCTTCATAAGCTCGTGCAACACAAGCCATCTAGTACTTCAAATCTTCTGCAAATCTCGCATTCACCCTCGTAACAGTCAAGCCCACTCTTTTAAGCGATACAAATTCAAATTGCAACACATATACTGGTAAAAGAGGTCTTCCAACAAACAAAATAAGGATCACACAGACTTCAGAACATTTCGCAGGAGGTAACCCACCTGCTTCGCCTCAAACTAACGCTTTTTTATACCCTTCTACAGTCATAAACATCACGCAATCATATGAAAATCAAATCACGATGAAAATCAAGCACCAAATAGTTCTTTCTACCCTCAAGCGGACCCTTCTCGTCACATTAAAATCATATGAACACATCTCGCGGTAACATCATACTCATCACACCGCCATCCAGCCATCACTCTCACTAATAGGGACACTATCGAACATATAAATCCAAAAGCACGTGCTCGCACAATCAACACATCAGTGCTCAAACTACAGGCAAAGCCCGGATTCAAGTCTTCTAGACTGGCCCAACATTAACACATAGAAATCACGTCTCGCCTCTCGATTAGGGAATCACAAAGTCGATGCACAGTTGATACTGAGCGATCATGCGTGCATACGAACGCGTGGAAAAAGTTTCAAAAGTTACATTTAGGGCTGAATCAATGACGCGCGGTAAGAATTTAAGAATGTGGGATTTCCTAAAGATTCTGCAGCCTCTCGAAAATAAGTACAGATGTCTCTGTACCGGTCCGCGAGACTCTACTAAACCTGCTCAAAATTCGTGAGATCTATGTAATCTAGGCTCTGATACCAATTTGCCACGACCCGAAAACCAACCCGGTCATGATGGCGCATATCATGAAACTAAGTCAGCTGACACAATCCCAATCAAACCAATATTCCAAAAATAAGGACATTTTAAGCTATTAATTAAATAAAATCTGATAACAAGGGTCTAAATCACAAATGAGGAAAGAAACATAAGCCCGACATCAGGGTGTCACAAGTCACGAGCATCTACTAAGGTTTGAATACAAGGAATACTACTATAATCTGGAAAAATACTAAAACAACCTAAGGAAGATGAGAGGGAGAAGAGCAAGGCTGCGAACGCCAGACAGCTACCTTGCTAACTCTGATGGACCTACCACTGAGTAATCAACAGCCGCTACCGAGTTCAGAAATACCTGAATCCGCACACAAGGTGCAAGGAGTAATATGAGTACGCCAATTCAGTAAGTAATAAAAGTAAATAGAGACTGAGCAGTAAGAAAACACATAATCGACATTATAACACCACAATAAATACATTATGTTTTCAAAACAGTTTATAAATCAAACATCTCGTTAAAAATCCACTTTCAGTAAAAATCCTTTGAAAATAGTCTTTCAACAATTTTTCAAATGATGTGATAAAATAGTGAGTAAAAATAGTGAAAACATAATCAGCCCCTCGGGCAAAACTCACACGTATACAGCCCCTCGGGCAACATAAATCACAAATAGCCCATCAGACAAGACATGTATCATAAACCGCCCCTCGGCATAATATTAATCAGAACCATCCCCTCAGGCTACTCACAGTTGTTGCGCCCCCTCTTTCTCGCGAAATCGGGTTTATGACATTTGGGAGGATAACTCGTTCCCTTTTGGAGATTAGGTTTGAATAGAAGAGTCGACACCTAATGATTTAAGTGCATTAGGACACTAGAAAGGTTTGATTTGAACAACCAGAGATTGGGTAAGGGCTTGAAATTATCCCAAGGGGAAGGTGTTAGACACCCCTCAAGATCCACTAGTGTGGTTCCTGGCCAGACAATTATTGTAAATTGAGGTGCAATTAACATATAGACAAATAAGGCTCAAATAAGAAGAGATTTGAGTTTGAATACAAAAGAGTTTGAAAACAATTATTAAAAGGCGAATTTTGAAAAGGAGTTACAGTTCTACAAATACTTGAGAGTATAAAAGGAGGGGGATCCTATGTTTATTTATAATATGGATCACATCAATGCAATACCCGGTATGATACTCCTCAGAAGAGGGGATACATGTGGTATTAGCGCACCGGTCATCATATCCATATCTACCCTTCCCACCCCATTAAGGTATTAAGCGTGGATCGGTCTCGACCTCTATTGCATGCTATTACCCTTCTCATTCCTATCAGTCCCGGAGGAATTTAGGATTACTATTCCTATAAGAGGGAGGATTTTAGGGTGACTCTCGGGTTTTAAAGATAAAAAGGCTAAGGCGACATACAAAACATGTAGGACTGCATATTAAGGGGAAACATATAAACAATTAAGAGCCTCATGTGTACCTCTGAAGACAATGCACACAAATAGCATGACTTAAACACGGTTAGGGTCGGAATTGAACTCATAATTTTAAAGCATGGTATCTAAGTGATAACAGCAAAGTCAGATTTATTACATGACTCATATAATATGATAACTTTACTAATTTAGTAAAATTGATAAATAACTCCAAAAATAATGTTCTAAAATAATTAGATCTGAAGAGTTAGAAAGCAAATTTATTCCAAAACTCAGTGAACACTAAGCAGCCCAAAATAATTAAATGGAATGATTATTGAGCTCAATCCTTGAAGTGACGTGTCCATTTGGAAGAATACGCCAAAAGAAAGGGCAAATTTCAAAATGATTTTTGAATTAGAACCAAAGTTATAATATCAGTTTTGTTGTCAAAATACTCAAATTTATTGTAAAGTAAGACCTCAGAAATAGGTTAGAAAATACTTATTTTCTGAAAGAGACAAAAATAAACAAACAAATTAGACCGAAGCTATTTGAACTGATAAAAGATGAATGTTAACCAATTATGGACTTAGGTACTATACTGTAAAAGACCTAGCTTATTTTAAGAGCCTTTATCACTACTCATAATTAACTATTCAAACACACAGAAGAGGGAAAGAAAAACTAATTTTACCTATTAGCATGCTATGATCGAAATAAAAGAATTAAAACTAAATAAGCAAGTAGTCAAATAGAGTAGGCAAACACTGTATTCCTAAACACGTAGCAAATAATCACATAGTCCTCCCATCCCTAGTAAATACTCCTTTGATAATTGTATCAGTGTCACTATAAGCCTATTACAAGGCAGATTGAGTGAACTAAATAACAAGATTTCCATGGAGATTCATCTCACTCAAACAAACCAAACAACGCATAGTCAGTTACTACTTACACTGAGACACGCTTGTTAGTCTTAAAGACGTGATATCTAAGCTTAGTTATACAACGGAGCATGTTGCGATAGTAGAGATCTATAGTAGACAGGAAGATGCTAGACAAGGCTATGAGTCATTCTATTAAACATGAAGTTAATCACCTTATACTCGTAAATGTGGTACATGGTGGTTAAAATGGTGGTTAAAATCCTATGACATGATGAGTATGCGAAAAAATTCTAATAATAAGATTAAACAACAGAGAACTACCATGCATCCCTTGGGCAAACTTTTTTTAAGAAGCATCACGTTACCTTTTTTAGTACTAAGGATACGGTGTTTAAATGATGGAAAACTTCAGTACAAGTTAAAAGTCTAAACAAAATCTGTATTACTTGTTTGGTTAAGCCTAAATCATAGTATCTACTCGACAGAATATTCTAAACAAGTCCAATTGGATCAAACAGATAATAATCCTACATACAAGTTATCTATCGCACAAAAAAGCCAGAACATACAAATAGAATTAAGCACATACTGAGGTTTAAGAAACGTACCTGGCTTTATACTGGCATAATTTCAATAGAGTGCCGCATGGCACTCAGCAGCTCGGCATGGCCAAGAGTTTTACAGAATACAAAACTAAAGAGAAGGACTAGTCTATTCTAACAACAAATAACACGTAAAGGAATCATAATGCATTGTTCAGAAAACTAACCAGTTGAAGAGCATATCAGTAATAGAATATGAAAAATCTGGAATTCCAAGCTTAGACAACAGTAAGTGAACCAAATATTCTCCACATTGTGCAGTGATATGCGCAAGAGACTCTAACAATAGCAACAAGAAACGACAGACACCCCAAAATTACCAGAATCTCAAGAATGTTCAGTAGTATTTATGTCGAACAAGTATAAAGTGCCAAGCTTTGTTTTGCTCGCAGCAATAAATAAAGGATAATATAGAATGATATAGTAGCAGTGACTGAAAAGCATCCCCCTAGTGCAGAGAACTAGTCAATATTTATAGTAGCCAATTAACCTTAGGGCCTGGTACTAGAATGGAAGGAATCACAAAACCGCATATCGAATAAAGGAAGATTTAGAATTTTAAAAACGAAAATTCTGTCAACCAGGAATTCGGGGATTGGGGAGAGATTTGAGTATTGAAATAGGAAAAGAAGAGCTATAGGTGAATATTTTAACAAAATGAACTAAAATTACTTACCAATCAATGAAATTTGAAGAGTAATTTCTTGATAAAATCCGAAAATCATTAGAAAAAAATCCGCAATTGAACTTTCAAGATTTAATCCAATCAATAACAAATAAAGTGCCTACCTCCAAAACCTGTCTACATTCGAGTGATAAGTTCGAACCCGAGAATGTCGAAATGGGTAGAATAGTACAGAGCTAAAATTTCGGTTGCGAATCATGGTGAATCAATATTTTCGTAGGGCGTTAATAGGAAAAGTAATTAAGGAAACAAAATAAGATAGAAAAGGGAAAGAAGAAAATTATTGAAGTAGGTAAAAAAATGAAGAACTGATGGACGAGAAGAGGCATATATGCCGGCGACAAAGTCGGCAGAAGGTTTGGGCAAAGGGGTGTGTTTTATGAGATGGGTTACTAACAAAAGCTTAATAGAAATGGGCCATTTGCTCTATCTCATGGCTGGCCTTGTAGATTTAAAGGGATTTTTTGGTTAAGTGTAAGGTTGATAATTGAGCTCCTATTAAATTAAAATGACATAGTAATAAAATAATTGGGAATGATAATTAGTAAATCCTATTTTATACAAACATTTGAACAAGCTAAAAATAAATTGTAAATGCTTTATATTTTTTTAAATTTGCTAATACGTAGTAAAAACACAACAACAACAACAACGACCCAGTATAATCCCACAAGTGGGGTCTGGGGAGGGTAATATGTACGCAGACCTTACCCCCTACCCCGAAGGGTAGAGAGGCTGTTTCCAGGAGACCCTCGGCTCAAAAAAGCAACAGAAG